TGTCTGGGGACACAAAGGCCATTACTTCAGCCTCCCATCACGACTGCCACAGAGCCCAAAGGGCTAAAGGAGGCCTCCTCTCCCAAGGTCAGAGGGGGTGGGGGGGCGCAGCCCTGTTTACAGGGTGCGAGAGGAGACCATCTCAATGGTGCCAGGAGCAGCAGAGCAGAGGAGCAGAGACCTGGACCTGAGTTACAGGAAGGTCACGAAGCCTCAGGGGTCCCAGCGCACCCAGTATCCTCCGCAAGCCTGCAACCTTCCCTGTAGTCTGTGGGTATCATGTGTGGCCAACCTCACCGAGTGGGACGAGACCCAACCCGGAGAATCAAGGGGGCCTGGACCCTGCTTACAGGCTGCAGGCCGGGGGCGGGGGCGTAGAGCAACGGCTGGCCAAGTGCCAGGGCACTCGTCCCCAGGGACTCGGGTGGGGAATACGTGGCTGTCTCTCAAGGAGGGCAGGAACTGCAATCGAGCTACCAAGTGCCCAAAGGAACCCAAAAAGAGGGGCTCTAAGGCCTGTATCCTGAAATACAGGGAGGCCGTGTGCCCAAAAGTATTAGAGAGGGGGCCTAATGCTCCCCGAGATCAAAAGGCCTGGAAATCCATCCCCCTAGGTATGGAGGTGGGAGGAGAAGGCTACGAGGATACACCTCGCCCCTTTTCCAGCACTGGGAAGAAAATAAAATACGCTGCAGCGATTTTAACAACAAAAAGAAAATAACAAACGCTTTCGCTCCCAGGCGCTCCTCTCTCTCGCTCTCCACACACTGACAAGGGAAAAAGTGTTCCCAGGCTGGAAAGGAGCTCGATGCTGCAAACTGCTTGACCTCGAACCTTACCCTGAAAATCCTCCTCCGCTCCCGGGGGGCGAGAAAGTTGAGACCGGTGCCCTCGTTACAGGGCCCGGCCCGCCTGGGGAGTCAGGCTGCCCACGGTGGGCAAAAGGGAGAGGCCCTAGCCCTGCTTACAGGGAGGGTCGTCAGGCCTGGCAAAAGACAGAGCTATCCACAAAGGCACATAGAAACCTGAACCCTGCTTACAGGGCGGTCCAGAGCTCTGCACAATTTAGGTCTGCACCAGGGGCACGGGAGTCGCACCCTCGTTACAGGGCACGGTCCATCTGACTAGTCAGATTGCCCACGGGGCGCAAAGGAGAAGGGCCAAGAGCCCTGCTTACAGGCAGGGCCGTCAGCCAGCCAAAAGACAGCTGTCCCCAAAGGCACATCGAGACCTGGACCCTGCTTACAGGGTGGTCCACAGCTCTGCACAATTTAGGCCTGC